AATAAAAACGATAATACCCGAAAATGTTTGTTTAAAATGTAAATAAAATCAGAGATCCGCACATAAAATATATATTTTTATTTTGCTATAAAGAGATTAAAACGTTTAATATTGTTCGCTCTGTTGTTATGATATCGTAACAACTCTGAATTTCCCAGGGGCATCAACAAAAAATTTAGCTTAACAAGGAAGGCGGACATAATAATTTCAAAAATGAAAAAAATCAAGAATATGTTTTTTCTGTTTCAGTCATTCCTCAAGTGAGAGAATAATTTTTATTACACTCTGCTAGTAGGCCTGGCTAGCAGTGCTGCCAGTTAAATTTCATGAAAAATCGTCAATTTTTCAGAAAAAAATCGGCATAATCGGCATTTGTATTTTTAAAAAACGGCAAAAAATCGGCAGCATATAATTTATAAATAAATTCATTTTTTTTGGTTTATAACAAATCAATATTGTTTATTACATTAAAAAAATATAACAAATTCAATTCTGTATAATAAAATAACATAAAAGGTTCATTTTTCTATAAAAAATGTAGATTTTTCTAAAATATAATAATTATTATGTACACTAGTGAGATCTTTCAGATTTACGTATAACACAGGTATTAAGGTCATAAAAATAACTCACAAACTAGTACATATTTTTATTACACATTTTTAGTAATTCATTATCAATTTTGATATTACAACAATTTGAATTATGAGCTTCTAATTTTAGTTTTGTTAAGGTTTACCTGACTAAAAATTCGTTCCACATTTGCTGTGGAGTGTGGAAGAACCATAATTCTTTGTACAAATTTAGACAAAACTGGAAAAGCTAAATTGGAGTCCCCACGTTTAATTTCGGAAAATTTTTAAATTATATTCTGCATTTTCAAAAATTTCTTCAAAATTCAGAAAGTTTAACTCCCTAAACTCGGAGTCTAAAGATTTTCCTTATTCGATGTAAAATGTAAACTAGACAGAGTACAATGCTGACAAAAAATGCAGATATCTAAGCCATTGAAAACGGCTGCGGCGAGTCGCCGATAGTTACAATGATTTAAAGCTGCCAATTTTATATGTTTGTATGGTAACGCCGTGTTAAATTAAAAAGTTAGACAATTTGTGTCGATTGTTGAAATATCGGCAATTCTGAGGCAAAAATCGGAAAATCGGCATTTCCCATTTTTAGAGTGAAAAATCGTCAAAATGCCGATAAATCGGCAAATATGGCAGCCCTGCTGGCTAGTAGTAAAAGGAATTTCCCAAAAATTCCACTCAAAAAATACGATATACGATACCGTAACGTACCGTAAAATTTTATCGAAAATGTTGGATAAGGTTGGCGTCTTGACTATAATTACGGATAATAAAAATTTTCGCGGAAAATTTTTTTATCCGTGAACAAAAAACATTGTTTTTTTTGTTTTTCCATCCAATTTTCGCGGAAATCAATCAAAAAAATAATCAAAAATAATTAATAATTAATTTTGGAAAAATTTTGATGAAAATTAATAGTATAACAGTTTTATAACAGTATAACAGTTAACGGTGCCGCCATCTATTGATTGTTATTCACAATTGTAATGCATTTTCCTGAAAAATTTCAATTTTCCTATATAGATGGTGTGGTATAACATTATGTTATGTCACGATATGGTGACATAACATAATGTTAACTTTTGGGTGAAATGATTTTTATATTCTCTGAAATGCACTGGAATTTTGACAAAAAGGCAATTTCAAAGAGACTGTCATAGCAAAGTGGAGCAGTATTTTGTTTGAAAAAAAAACACACACACAAACAACAAATTATTTATTATGTAAATCATACTCATTTACAATTTTGTTTATTTCAAATTGTCATGTTCGACGTTGTTAAAGCCGAAGATAACAACGAATCGGATAAAGAAGGAAGGCATAACAGTGTAATTCTTTGAGATACATTGTGACACACTCTTCCACCACGCTAAGACGAAATATGTGGAAATTTAGAAAAACGTATCCGAATCAATTGAGCTTTCACAGGAACTCGATGCTGCGGTTGGACTTTCTTTGGTTGTTACTAGGAACTATTATTAATTAAAATTAGCCGTGGAAAATATCTTTACAGTGCACATGTCTTCCGCTGAGACTGTCAATGAAGCAAATCTCATTATTCCAGCTAGGCATTACCAATTTGTTTAAATTATCATCGGAACCACTACCAATCCGAAAAGTCAGCTAATACTTCTCGATAAGTTGAACTATATGTGGCGATTTGCAATATTTGTACTAAATCCAGATAAAATCACATTACATGTGAGATTTATGATTTATAAAAGCTTTTGTTGAAGTCCTTGAAATATCTTTAGTTGTGTTAAATTGGGTCAAAATTCCATAAATTTCATCATTATGTGGTATATGGATTTCTAAAAAATATAATATTTAAATTTATAATAATAATAATAATATGTTTACGTATTTTTTATAAGACAAACTCACAATGACCAAAATGCTACATTATAATTGATCTCTAAAATCAAATTTAGTTTTTAATTTCTTATCAAGAAGGATGTAATGTCGTTTCAGATCGTCGTGGAAACGTAAACCCTCTGTCGTGGAAACGTATCTTTGTGTAAAATTGTCATGTTGTTTGCTATACCTCGAAATAACTTGGCTGTAATTTGGCGTTTTTGTTTCCTAATGTATAGCGAACCTCCGTAACAAAAATGATTAATATTGATCCAAGTTTCGGGATAGCCACCATATAGCGGTACCCCCAATATTCGGTATTTATACCCCTCCCCACACTGTGGTTCGATTTTATGTAAATGGTAGTTACACGAAATTTGGCCGAGGGTATTAAATTGAATGTAGTGATTACAAAAAACAAATTATGTACGCAACGGTTACTCAATTAGGTCCATGTGTTTATATACAGCCCCCATACATAATTTGACTCGATTTCATACAAATGGTACACCAAAGAATCCAAGTCTGTCCGTTTGACATACAATTTTTCATTGATTTCAGAATGGTGTGTATGGGGTTTTTTCAATTGGTTGAAATGTCTGTCTAGATAGAACATTTAATTTCGCCCGATTTCATCTCAATGGTCCTCTAAAGATATTATGACCTTTCTATCTACAGGATATTGTAGATGTTAACATGTATTGGTGAAGGGTATCATATAGTCGGGCCCGTCCGATTTTTGAACTTTCCTTACTGGTTTTGGCATGTTTTTCATCGGAATATGTTGTAATTTGGTATTACGTTTTCTCCTAAAAGATTCTATCGGATTCAGGCATTTTGAATATCCACCTCATGGTGGAGGGTATATAAAGTTCGGCCCGGCCGAATATAACGACTTTTTAAACTTTTTTCTTTATAATATTGAAAAGTTTTAATTGTATTTGTCTACGGTAACAATTTCTTTAATACCAACTGAAAACTTTAAACCAATGCCTTTTTATTAATTCATCCAAAATTTTATTGATAATAAGAACATATGTAAAGTGAATAAAAATGGACATGAACACGATACCATTCTGATGGTATATCATTTCTCATTTCCGCCTAGTGCATATTTTTGCCATCATATGCGATTTGGGCGTATCGTCGTTCCTAGGCTCCAATTGTCCGCTTGAGCAGTATTTAATAAACAAACGCTGTTATAAAAACAATTCATCTACTATGTACCAAAGACATAGAAACCGTAAAGACTCGACAAAATGCATTTTGACAAAATAGTTTGTGAAAAAATATCCAGGGGGAATCAGGCGTAACAGAGGCATGTTAACAATAAAAACGCAAATACGCGATAATATGTGTATAAAATGTAAATAAAATTAGAGATCTGTACTCAAAAAATCTGTTTTTATTTTGTAAGCTTGCGCTATAGCGTTTAAAACGTTTAATATTGTTTGCTCTGTTGTTATGATATCGTAACAACAGAGGAAAAGCCATCTATTGGAAATTGTTGACGTATCGATTGTCCTATCTTTATACTTTTATGTCTTTGCTTTATACTTTTATGTCTTTGCCTTTATAAGATAGGACAATTGATACGTAAGCAATTTCCAACAGATGGCTTTTCCTCTGTTGTTACGATATCATAACAACAGAGAGAACAATATTAAACGTTTTTAATGCTATATCGCAAGCTTATAAAATGAAAATACATATTTTGAGTGCAGGCCTCTAATTTTATTTACATTTTATTCACACATTTTCGCGTATTGGCGTTTTTATTCTTAACATGCCTCTGTTAACCTTGATTCCCCCTGGATATTTTTTCATAAACTATTTTGCCAAAATGCATTTTGTCGAGTCTTTACGGTTTCTATGTCTTTGCCTTTATTTTCGAATTTTCGATAACTGGTAGATGGCGTTAGAAGCAGTCGAAAAGGAGTGAAACGATAGGACAATTGATACGTACGCAATTACCAACAGATGGCTTTTCCTCTGTTGTTACGATATCATAACAACAGAGAGAACAATATTAAACGTTTTTAGTGCTATATCTTAAGCTTATAAAATGAAAATATATATTTTGAGTTCAGACCTCTGATTTTATTTACATTTTATACACACATTATCGCGTATTTGCGTTTTTATTGTTAACATGCCTCTGTTATGCCTGATTCCCCCTGGATATTTTTTTATAAACTATATTGTCAAAATGCATTTTGTCGAGTCTTTACGTTTTCTATGTCTTTGGTGAAACCCTCCATAGAGGAATACTCGTATGAGTTAATAAATTCGACTATAAGATATTTCTTTCAAGTATTATGAATCTCGGGCGTTTTTAATTCGTGTACGTAAAAACCCACACACAACATGACATTACACTCTTATCGATATTAACAAAATATCAATCACAATAAAGAACTATCGATAATAACATCGGTTTAATGTCAGTTCTAGAACACGTGCAGACTTTTGTTTTTATTTTGATTCAACTCGACTCGGAATCGACCGGTATATTTGTAAAAAGAAACATTTTAAAGTTCGTCTAAAAAAACATCAAATATGGGCAAAAAGGATAAAAATAAGAAAAAGGGTAAAGGAGCTGAAAAGACTGCCATGAAGACGGATAAGAAGTTGGCAGCTAAGCAAAAGAAAATGCTTGAAAAGTTGGGCGAGGTAATTTTTGCTATACACTGTTGTTGCTGTAGTTCTTAAAATGTTACCTTTTTTAGGCGGATATTGCCGAGTTAGTAGCCAAGTTGGAAGCAGAAGAAGCCAGACTGAAGACTGTTACTGAAGAAGTTTGCGCCACACCGCCTAGCCCCAGATCAAGCTTCTCATTAGTGACACATCCAGAAAAAGAAGAGCTCATACTGTTCGGTGGTGAATTTTTCAATGGCCAAAGGGTGTGTGTATACAATGACCTGTTTTTCTATAATATTAGTAAAAACGAATGGAAGCTTGTAAAATCCCCTGGAGGACCAGCTCCTAGAAGCGGCCATCAAATGGTCACTGTTGCCACAGATGGAGGACAAATATGGGTATGATAGATCTTAAATCCTGAATTATAATTAGGTCCAGAATGATACATTACTTCTCGTTTTTCAGCTTTTTGGTGGTGAACATGCTAGTCCTTCGCAAATGCAATTCTATCACTACAAAGACTTGTGGATGATGAGTCTTAAGACGCGAAAATGGGAAAAAATCAATACACCAAATGGACCAAGTGCTCGCAGTGGCCACCGTATGGTTGTTGCCAAAAAGAAACTTTTTGTATTTGGCGGCTTCCATGACAATAACCAGTCATATCGTTATTTTAATGACATTCATATATTCTCATTAGAATCTTATACTTGGATGCAAGTAGAAATTGGGGGTGCAGTAGTTCCCCCGCCAAGATCGGCTTGTTGCATGGCTGCAACACCTGAGGGAAAAATTGTTGTTTGGGGAGGCTACTCCAAATCGCAAATGAAGAAAGATGTTGACCGTGGTATAACGCATACGGATATGTATATATTAACACCAGACAGTAAGTTCTTGTCACATTTTACAATAAAAACTATACATCTATTTATTAATTTTTTATTATCAATAGAGAATGCACTCGACTCGAACAAATTCAAGTGGGTTAGCAATAAATGTGGTGGCTACAAACCCTTGCCACGTAGCAGTGTCGGCTGTTGCACAGCCCCCAATGGAAAAGCTTATTGCTTTGGTGGTGTCATGGACATAGATGAGGACGAAGAAGATGTAAAAGGACAATTTGGCGATGAATTGCTGGCACTCGACCTAACAGCAATGTCATGGCGTCTGATTGAAATTATTAAGAAAACTAAACCAGTAAAGAAGGAAACGAAACAGGGGGTATCTGACATTGAAATGAAGGAGGAAGAGGGAACAAAACCACAAACCACGGTTACTAGTGATGGCATTTTTACAATTACCGTGGCAGGTCCCACAACATCACAACCAACCGCCGCTCTTCCAAAAGTACCCAGTCTTTTCCCCAACAGAAGACCGAAAAATGTACCTTCGCCTAGAATGAATCCTGGTCTATGTGTTTGCAAAGGTACTTTGTACATATACGGTGGCTTATACGAAGAGGATAACAAGCAGTATACTTTCAATGACTTCTATGCTTTGGACTTGCACAAATTGGATGAATGGAAGGCAATTATTCCAAATGATATGAATGCTCATGACTGGATAGACAGTGATAGCAGTGACTCGGACGAAAGCGATGATGATGATGAAGACGACGATGATGACGAAGATGAGGATGATTCAGAAATGGACACCGATTAGAATTGCAAAGCTTTTAATAAATATTTTTATTTACAAAAATTTTGAATAACACATTTATTATAGAGAAATGTAACATTAAATGTAATTAAACACAGTTCTGGTTGAACATTTTAATAAGGAAAACCTCCATTTACAAAAACATACATTAAATGCAATTTGTTTCTTTTGGAATGTGTAGGTATTTTAGTTTAACCCGAATATTTCTTGCAATATGCGTTTGGTATCATCGGGACTCTGCACCTTGTGTGAAATGGTACGAGGATCGATAAAAATTTCGTAATCATTGCCACCGGGATCGGTTTTATCGCCAAAGAAATGAATTTCCTTAAATTTATAATTGGCCTCAATGTAGCGCAAGGAATACGTTTTGTCCCAGCCTTTAGGGAAAACATCGAAGCTGATTTGCCCTCCAATGCTGTATGTTAAATCCACATCAGCAAACTCTTTTTTCAGCACCTCAATCATTTTGCTGCGCACATGGTGTTCCTTATCATATTCGGCAAATATATTACGTTCTTCCCTCGAACATTGCCTTCCAATGGGACAAATATTCATCATTCCATTGCGAAATTCCAAGAATGTACCTCTTTTAAATGGCAACTTCAATTCCGATAAATAACGTAATACAAAATTTATGAAGCCCTGAAGAGTATCTTCGCCCAAATGTTTGATTATATTTTGTTTGCCAACTTCCTGACCCTTGTCGATCTGGACCAAACCATTCTCGGGAAAGACAAAATCAAACTTTTCCAGAATTTTGCGTCCGTTCAGTTGTTCAAACATTTTTTCAAGATCCGAGCCGCCCACGATACCGATGGTAGCTCGTGGTTTGATTTCATTGTATAGGAACTCTTCAAAATCAGGTGTTACAGTTGACCGTGGAATGGTTAAGGTTCCGTCTACATCAAAAAGCAGCAAAATTTCATCCTTTTTTAATGTTGTCATATTGGTTAACACCTGTTGTTTTGTATTTCTCCCAACTGTATTGCTCCCTTTGTTATTCACCGGCACAAAATAAATGGAATACCACGTACCAATCGCAAAATTAGAATTTTTGCAGGGTTAACCTACATTAGGAGGATTTATTTGACAAATACGCAATGGAATTGACAATTAAAACCGACTGGGTTAACTAAATCCGGTACAATGTAAATGTACTGATAAAACCATTCACTAATAAAAATAAAATAAACTTAAGAACTCTAGCTATTTCCACATCTTCTCATAAATTTATAAAATTGAAATGTTATGTACTAAGCATTTGCTTTAAAAAGAAATGTAAAATAAATTAAAGATTCTAAAATAAGTTTTCGCCACAACAATAATAACAACAGCGCTTGATAATAAATGCAGATGTTGTATTTTTGTTGGGTTGTCCAGATATTTGGGCCATACTCTAAGTCTTGTGGTTAATTATACACATATTTGACTCCAGTTTTTTTCAAACTCTTTTAATCAGAAGTTGGCATTGCTTCCATTTTGAATTGTGTTCTCTTAAAATTACTTGAAAGTTTTACGTGTTTCGAGTTAAAAGCAACAAAACTGGTAAGAAGAGTAGATTATTTTAGGTACTGGAACGGAACAAACATCATAATCGAAAAATTGTTATTGTAGTAAAAAGTTATACCATCTAGCAGTATAAATGCATGGAATATATTCTTTATTTTTCGTCTATAATTTAAATTAAATGTTGATAGAACAAAACCACATTGATAATAATCTCAAAAATTGCATTTGTTTCCATTAATTGATTAAAAACAACTGTTCCTCCTAAAATACTATATAAAATGACCACATTCGGCAATTTACACATAACATATACATATATAATAAAAAAAAAATCACATCTGTAGTATAAAATGAGATTAACAATATTGGTCATTTGATAAAATATCCGTTTTAGGCAGGCAAACATCTTAAGTAGGTATGTGATTCTTATAAATTCATGAGCTTTTAGAAGTGAGCTTTAACAGAACTGTTTGGGTGCACCAACTCTGGCCCAACACCACCAGCCATCTTATGTACCAAAATGCCGACATCATAGGCCAAACTTTCACAATCCTAAGTTTTTTAAAATAGAAGACATTTAATAAACAAATTAAGTCAAATGTTACATCGTTAACTTACCTCTTTCGTTGCTGCTTCAGCATAGACACGAACAACGTCTTCAGTGCCTGATGGCCGCACAAATGAACGACCACGTTTATAGTTAGCTACTGCTTCATTTATTGCTTCCTGTAAGCCAACAGGAGTTACACAAACTCTCTCAGCATCGGTTGTCGTTATGACATTGCGATCTTGCACTTTAATTTTTAATTGCAAATTGGGCAAATCATCGTAACAACCTAGCCAATCCTTGACATCCCAACCTTTATGATTTAGAATAGTTTCCACCAGTAGCATATCTGATATGGCATCGCCAACTGTCTCATTTATGACGTCGATAATCAGTAAGAATTGTTTTGCCTCAGCATTTCCTTCGTCCGCCGCCTTTTTTATTAAAGTTTTGGCATTGTCACTGAATATAACTGTGCCGTGACCATTGGCTTCAAAGTAAACACCAATATCAAATTCCAGAGCTTTGTGATGTAAATGTTTAACACCAGTTGGAACACACGCAACTGGTACTTTTAATTTGTTAACAATATAATCAGTGGAAGCACCATTTGCATAGGCTGTTTGTACCAGACCCAAGTTTAGTTCCAATCCACATTTCTTGACCATGTCCATAAGATAATCGGCGATTAAGGTAGCAATGCGATCGCCATCCAATAAATGGAAGACACCATTCTCATCGGTGAAGAAGTATACTATACGATCCGCATCACCATCCACACTGACACACCGTGTGTTAGGTTCAGCCTTCGGCATACATATGGGGACTTTTTGTTGTACCTTAACATGATCAGCACCACAATCCTGGTTAATTCTTCCATCGCCTTTGTTGAAGACATCAACTTGTAGGGTGTTGTTCATCCTTTTGATGAACTGTAACATTTTACGTGCCCCGACACCATTGGCACCATCAAACAATACCAGGTTTTTGTAATTGCCGTTTTCTAATTTATCACCGCGTAGAGCATTGAAAGCTGTAATGAGCTTGGTATAGTAGCCCTCCTCAGTTGGCTGTCCATAGGCACCTTTGGTATTGGCAGCCACCACATAGTAATGCATCATTGGCGTTGTTACAATTCCAAATTCTTTAACGTTTCCCTTCAAAGCAATAACACCATCAGCAACGGCCTTTAATAGGCGTGGGCTATGATAACGATTATCCATTCCTACATAAACATTCGATGAGGAACTAACATCAATGCTATTCTCTTTGATAATTTTTCCAACTTGTTCTTCAAGTTCTTGGTCGGTGACATTGGCTAACTCTGTGGCAATAGATTCCCAACTGGGATCTAACATTTCTCCTTTGGGGTCAATAAGTTTAACACCATTATCGGGTTCAGGATTATGTGAAGCAGTAATCATAACACCAATGACAGCGCCGCCAAGTACGCGAGATCTTAGGGTTGCCAAAACTCCCATACGAAACATGACGCTGTCCAGATTTTCAGCTCTGTAGTAAGAAAAAAAGATAAGTGATCGATTGGCTTATTTTAAAATATTTTAGAAAAGTCAATCAAAAATAAACAGAATATACATTGATATAGATAGCAATCAGTCCTTTTCTGGACATAAATTCACCGTGAAGTTTTTGTCTCTTCTCTATAAAGTTATTCGGCAAATTTTCAACTTTTAATTTATTTTTATGTTTTTATAAAGTTAAAATAACATTTTTTTAAATTAATAAATAAAATATTTCAAAATTAAATTACAAATGGGCAACACATATTACAACTTAAATTACAATATGGCAACACGAATATTTTTTCAACCACCATTTTCGAAAATCCGAATCCGCTTCTCGCGTTTTTTGCTTCTCCCTATTCATTCAGAATAAGGCGAGAATGTGAAAGCGAAACATTTTTCACAAGCGAAATCTCTCTCTAACGAATATCCAGAATAAGGCTGAATAGTGTCGCAGCCGTATTACCCTGGATTGATCCCTTGTATCTTTTCTCGTTAATACAACTAAGGAGATCTATAAATTAATTGAAACCTCATTTTTACAATAATATCGGAGCCGTAGTCCCCTGATCTGATCCTATCAAAATATTCTCTTTTATACAACTACGTAGACCTATAAATTGATGGAAGCAGAATTGTGGAGATGAACTAGATTTCAGAATTGAAAATAACACAGTCATAAGAGCATTCGAAGAGGATGATAAATATATATGTATATATATATCTTCATTACTAGACCTCGGATTTTGCATATTTGCATATTTTTTAATAATGAAGATATCGAAATTCTGATTGGACACAAATTCGTTTCAAAGGATTTAGAATTATTAGAAGGGTTCATATTTTTTAATTTTTTGCATATTTGCATATTTTGCATATGCACGAGATATGCAAAAAATATGCAAAATATGCAAAAAATATGCAAAATATGCAAAAAATATGCAAAATATGCAAAAAATATGCAAAATATGCAAAAAATATGCAAAATATGCAAAATATATGCAAAATATGCAAAAAATATGCAAAATATGCTAGGTCGATATGCAATAAATATGCAAAATATATGCATAAAATATGCAAAATATATGCTAAAATATGCAAAATATATGCAAAATATGCAAACATATGCAAAATATGCAAACATATGCAAAATATGCAAAAATATGCAAACATATGCAAAATATGCAAAATATATGCAAAATATATGCAAAATATATGCAAAATATGCAAACATATCCAAACATATGCAAAATATGCAAAATATATGCAAATATATGCAAAATATGCAAACATATGCAAAATATGCAAAAATATGCAAAATATGCAAAAATATGCAAAATATATGCAAAATATGCAAACATATGCAAAATATGCAAAAAATATGCAAAATATGCAAAAAATATGCAAAATATGCAAAAAATATGCAAAATATGCAAAAAATATGCAAAATATGCAAAATATATGCAAAATATGCAAACATATGCAAAATATGCAAAAAATATGCAAAATATGCAAAATATATGCAAAATATGCAAAAAATATGCAAAATATGCTAGGTCGATATGCAATAAATATGCAAAATATATGCATAAAATATGCAAAATATATGCTAAAATATGCAAAATATATGCAAAATATGCAAAAATATGCAAACATATGCAAAATATGCAAAATATATGCAAAATATATGCAAAATATGCAAACATATCCAAACATATGCAAAATATATGCAAATATGAGCAACATATTTCACAAATGCAATCATTTTAATCAAAAAAAAAAATTCAGGGTAGTTTTCGAATTTGTGTGCTTTCTTTATTTTTAACTTATAGAAATCTAATTGTGTATGTATGCGTTTCATGGTTCAACTGTTAGATTTTTGGGGCATTATGAAAAATTTGCTAAATATATGTATAAAACATGCAAACATATATAACCGTTATATGGCGATATACTAAAACGTGGACCGATATATCCCATTTCCAATACCAAATATCCTAGGAGTAATAATAATATATGTGCAAAAGTTCAAAGTTCTATCTTTAATATTGCGACCTAGCATACCGTGCATATATTTTGCATATTTTGCATATTTTTGCATATGTTTGCATATTTTGCATATTTCTGCATATTTTGCATATTTCTGCATATTTTTGCATATTTTGCATATGTTTGCATATTTTGCATATATTTTGTATATTTTGCACATATTTTGCATATTTCTGCATATATTGCATATTTTGCATATGTTTGCATATTTTGCATATTTTGCATATTTCTGCATATTTTGCATATTTTGCATATTTTTGCATATTTTGCATATTTTTGCATATTTTGCATATGTTTGCATATTTTGCATATTTCTGCATATTTTGCATATTTTGCATATTTCTGCATATTTCTGCATATTTCTGCATATTTTTTGCATATTTTGCATATTTTGCATATTTTTGCATATTTTGCATATTTTTGCATATTTTTGCATATTTTGCATATATTTTGCATATTTTGCATATATTTTGCATATTTCTGCATATATTGCATATTTTTGCATATTTTGCATATGTTTGCATATTTTGCATATTTCTGCATATTTTGCATATTTTTGCATATTTTGCATATTTTTGCATATTTTGCATATTTTTGCATATTTTGCATATTTTGCATGTTTTTGCATATTTTGCATATCGACAATGCATATTTTGTATATTTTTTGCATATATTTATCGCATATCGACCTAGCATACCGTGCATATTTTTTGCATATTTTGCATATATTTTGCATATTTTGCATATTTTTTGCATTTTTTGCATATTTTTTGCATATTTTGCATATTTTTTGCATATTTTGCATATTTTTTGCATATTTTTTGCATATATTTTGCATATTTTTTGCATATATTTTGCATATTTTTTGCATATTTTTTGCATATTTTTGACATGACCCCAAATATCGATCAATTAAAGCATGAAACGCCTAAATACAAAATTTGAGTCCAATCGGATAAAGCATAAAAAATATGCAAAAATCCGAGGTCTATTCATTACAGACAAATACTAGGTACTTTTCGTTATCTTATTAAGTAGTATCTTGAAGTTTTCGTATTGCTTTTCTTGAACTACTTTTGGTACCACTTTTCGTGTTTGATAAATGGTCGTATTGCTGAACTCCTATAGTACCCTCCTACATTGGCAAACTAGTTGTTCATTTTCTTCGTTTTGATATCGTGTTTGCCTTGTATGCGAGTGTAGTATTGAGGTGGCAAAAAAAACTAAACCTAAAAAGTAAAAGTGTTGTTATAAACACATTCCAGTTGTGCCCATTTCTTATAGATGTAGTGTTGTTGTTGTTGCAACGAAAAACCAGACCACTTGGCATTTAGCTCTTGAATCGACAATGCACATGTTACACCTTTTACGATTTCTTTGTTAACACAGCAACCTTTCAACCGAAAAATAGGTCGAATAGGAAGTGCTTAAAGATTTTATTTTTTCTTTTTAATATGGAAATTAAATTTTGTTTCTATTAATAGAAATTGACTATCAGCCGGTTTTCCTATGTATTGTGAAGATATCTATAGGGGGTGCAGCAGCATAATATTTACATATATGTTACTCACTTTCCACGGAATCCAGCTGTTCCATACTGTATGGGATCGTTCGATTTCTTTTGATACATTTCCCGAGCAAAAGCATATACTGTTCGCAAATTAATCGACATTGTGATTCAGTTTCTTTTTTTAACTGAAAATTATGTTACAAGTTTTTTCTAAATATTTCGAAATGGTAAAGTATTTTGGAACCCTGATGACCGATGTGGACCGACCCCACTTAATCCAAACAAAAGCACCAAGTGACTAGAGTTGACAAACTATCGATGACACCGTCGAACGTATCGATACCTCTCTTGTGTCAATATCGATTTATATTTCATCTTATCGATTATATCAGCAGTTTTTGATGTCATGTTTACATGAGACCAAGGTTTCTCAAGTTGGCTACCAAAATACATTATATCATATCACTTTTAACATATCACTTTTAACATTTCACTTGGGTGTCCTTATTAGTAGATCTTGATTCCAAGCAAATCAGATGTTTCAAGGTTGCTATCCATGGTTTATTAGCAGCAAATCAAGTTATTGAGAAATAACAACTGTTCTCCGATTCCTGCCTTGGTGACCTTATTAATAGATGTTGTTTCTGTCAAAATCCATTATTGTGAATATTCATATGCAGTCGAATTCGGATAAGCCATGGCCTATAAATAAGGTCAGCAAGGGAGACCAGCTGATTATCGATACCTATCAAGTTTGCTGTCAAAATGCATTATTGTGAATTGACTTCCATTATGAAAACGTAAACAAAGTCGAAATTTTTGACATTAGACTTGAGAAAAAACAGCTGTTTTCCGATTTCGATTGCTATCTTGGTGACCTTATTTATAGGCCATGGGATAAGCGAACTCGGGTTTATCGAAAAAATCGGTTAATTGAAGTTAATAATTGGTCTGTTCCCGTACTGCAAGAATCTACCCAATTTTACTATTTTCTTCGATATAAAGGAAAAGGGAAAAAGTGTTATCGGATTAAAAATAGTAGTTTTTTGCATTACGGGAACATACCAAAAAAAGGAAGTTCTTACTCAATTAATTTTTTGATTTATTCATTTCACGATTTTTCAGATCGAACGCATTGTTTAAGCGTAACGCAAGTTTTGCTTATCCGAGGTCCTTAATTGAAAATCCTGCATAAGAGCAAAAAAATTACCGAAATTACGCGGTTTCTCTTAAGCGAATTCGACAGTATATGACACAAGGTCTATTAATAAGGTCATTCAGGGAGACCAACTGGATATAAGCTGTCTCTCAAGTTTGATGCCAAGATCCATTATTGTGAATTTATTTCCATTCTGAAAATGTAAACAGTCAAAACATTACATTAATTATACTTATTTATAATTGTACTTAAATTATTAGGGTACCCATATTCAATATAAATTAAACACGAATCAATGAAATAGTTTTATTTAATTTTTTATTTGTATAAAATATGGACGGAATTTGTTACTTTTATAAATGATTTTTGTAAAGGCACTTGTCTATAAAATACAGCTTTATATATATATCTAGCTATATATATGTATGTTAAATTATAGTTGTAAAAATATGTTGTGCTATATAAATCAATGATGTTTGTACCTATAAAAACAATTCGAGTTTTTCTTTCTTTCTTAATAGTAATTGAAGTAATTGAACTTCTTAATAGTTAATTGAAGTTAATAATTGGTCTGTTCCCGTACTGCAAGAATCTACCCAATTTTACTATTTTCTTCGATATAAAGGAAAAGGGAAAAAGTGTTATCGAATTAAAAATAGTAGTTTTTTGCATTACGGTAACATACCAAAAAAAGGAAGTTCTTACTCAATTAATTTTTTGATTTATTCATTTCACGATTTTTCAGATCGAACGCATTGTTTAAGCGTAACGCAAGTTTTGCTTATCCGAGGTCCTTAATTGAAAATCCTGCATAAGAGCAAAAAAATTACCGAAATTACGCGGTTTCTCTTAAGCGAATTCGACAGTATATGACACAAGGTCTATTAATAAGGTCATTCAGGGAGACCAACTGGATATAAGCTGTCTCTCAAGTTTGATGCCAAGATCCATTATTGTGAATTTATTTCCATTCTGAAAATGTAAACAGTCAAAACATTACATTAATTATACTTATTTATAATTGTACTTTAATTATTAGTGTACCCATATTCAATATAAATTAAACACAAATCAATGAAATAGTTTTATTTAATTTTTTATTTGTATAAAATATGGACGGAATTTGTTACTTTTATAAATGATTTTTGTAAAGGCACTAGTCTATAAAATACAGCTTTATATATATCTAGCTATATATATGTATGTTAAATTATAGTTGTAAAAATATGTTGTGCTATATAAATCAATGATGTTTGTACCTATAAAAACAATTCGAGTTTTTCTTTCTTTCTTAATAGTAAATTGTTTGGAATGTTTGGTTTCTCAATAAAAAATGATATGTTTGTTTGTTTTTAAACAGAGATTCTTAGCAAAGAGAACAATGATGCCGTTGAGAACAGCAACATTGAGAATGATGTTGAAATTTTCATGGATCCAGCATGACAGTCGGTAATACGTCTAGCACGCATAAAATCGCTACCCAAGTAAATGTCATAACGTCTCTGGTTGGGAGGAATAACTTTCAATTGCCGTGTGGCATCTTGGAAGATAAGATCGTAGTAATTTAATGGCGATGAGAACATGCTGAAACTGAACGCATCAACATTCTTACGTCCATACAATTGTTGGGCATATGTTAAGAGATTTATATAGGCATTAATTTCTGTTTCGTTATAATTGACTCCACCCCGTGTAACAATTGCATTTGCTTTTACCTTTCCAAGGTTGCACTTTTTATAGTCTTGTAGTTCAGCTCGTTTGCCATCGGTACAGAGTAGTTCAAAATCGTCATTTAGAGCATTACGTGCCCACCATTCTTTCCGCTTTCCTCCGGTGTTTTCCATAACTGTGGTGTGTTTCATAAATGCAACATGACCACCGCCCTCCACTAGACACCGGAATGCCCCCGTATGACCATAGTAGTCCTCAGATGCATCACGACGGCAATAACGATAACTTGTTCCATGACAGAGATCACACATACTGTCATAAGGCACCCCAGTATTATATTCATTGCTAATGGCACCTGGAATACACGACTTTGTGAAATACTCAGCTGCAGCTCTTATTGAGTCGCAACCATATGGTCTTATCCAGCCATTTGAAATCATATGTGCCAAAGGATATGTCCAGCCAGCTGCTGTATTTATACCAGTGTGGCAGGTATATTTTCCCTTCAGATAGGTCAATTCAGTATCGCGATCTTCTTCTTTGGCTACCGCCACAACATAATATTCCGGTTCACCAAGATTATAAACTTCCGACATAAAGGGAATTAAGTCATATGTTAAGCCAGCGGTATATACGTCTCCTGCATCGAAAACTGCAATATCAGCTTTACCCGATTGTATCCACTGCATACAATTTATATGGGAATGCATTTTCTTACAAATTAACTCTGGCTTTAAAATTTGTGCTTTAAGGGCGATCTGAAAGAGTGAAGGTCTAAGTAATTGCATTAATATGTACAAGAATTCTATTTACCCTCATTTTTATACATTTCTCCAGTTCAGGGTCAGATGTTACACATAGTGTCATTGAAGGTACGGGACATTCACGTAAGCCATAAATGTAATCAATCGAATTCTGCAGATATTTGCTGAATGACTGATCGTCCTCATTGATTACTGCCAGGGATTTGGCAACATCCTAACAATGTAAAATATTAGTTCTGCTGACTCTTTATAAACAACAAAAAATTAAAACTTACTTGGAATAATAAATTTGTTTTTCCATAGCGTTTCGATTCGAAAATGTTAAACTTTACATATTGCACAGAAGTATTGAGATTATCGGTACGTTCGGTAGTAAAACTGCTATCCAAACGATCGTTGCGAGCATTAGAAAAACGATTGCGATTATATTGATCATACGACTGGGAATTATAATTGTCATAGGGATTATTGCGTTCATTATTGTAATTGTTTTCGTAATTAAATCCCCTATTTCGATTCGAATTGCCCTGTTGTTGTGGGTCGTCTTTTAGACCATCCGAATAGAGCTCAACAATTTTTCTCAAAAATTTCTGATATTTTTTTCGTTCTAAAAATGTTCTTGCCGATGACGTGACCACCGCATCTGATGGTATAAGTCCCCAGTTGCATTGGCGAAATTCTGAAACCGGAACACGCCTTCCATCGCGACACAATAGTTCAAAACGTTCGGGAGATATGCTTTCTGTAATGAATAAAGTATGGCATTATTATTAAATAACAGGAAAAAGTACATGTATTAATAATAAATAAAATAAATTATAATAGTAGTTCTTAATTTTTTAACCACTTGTACATATAACTAAATATAACAACTCTTTGTTTACGATATGTACCGTATTGAGTGAATCAAACTCATATCTGAATTTTTCTGTAGTTAAAAAAAATGTCTTTTATTATTCAAAGAGAATAAGTTAATTCTTCGATTTTTTAGCAGAATTTAAGAAAAGTAGAAATTTCTACAAAATAATTTTATCATCATTTCATGTCAGTCGAAATATAAATTGACTGAAATCATCAAAACTTTTTTTTTTTTTGTAGACACAAAATAAAAAAATTGTTCAATACTTACTAAACTCAGGACTCTCAAGCATTTCAAAAACAGTTGAATCACGTAGAAACGCCACATCACCTGCTTCGAGAAGGCAACGGAATGCACCATCATAACCATAGTAAGGATCCGCAGCTGAACAGCGTCCCACCGGAATTTTGCCAGTACATAAAGTGCATAGCCTTAAAAAAATGTTATAGTATATTAAAGCGATATTTTAATCCCATTTATTTTTCCAACTTACTTATCTGAATTATCACCAATAGGATTATATTTGTCAATTAATGAGTAGACAGCACATGAATTGTTAAAATAATTAGCAGCAGTTTTGACTTGATTGTTGCAATCAACGACCTCCATTCCACCCTCACGTTGTAGCTATTTTTTTTTTTGACAATAATAATTAATTAATTTTAATTAATTACAATAGCTAAATGTTTTAATGATTAATTTTACCGTGTATATAGGAACTATCCATCCAGCCAAACTGCCTACCCAAGGAAAGCAAGCCTTTTTCTGACGCAAATCTCTCAAGCTTGTTACATCTTGTAAAGTACCAGCTTTTACAACAGCCACGGAGTGATAATTTGTAAAACCACCTTCGAATTTTTCTTGCATAAGTGGAATAAGGGAATTGTAACGACCAGCGGTAAAAACATCTCCAGCATCTAGCGATGTTATGTGGGCATTTTCGTGATCGATGTGATGTATACATTCATCAGCACTGTATGCCTTAAAACATGTCAGATTCAATAGAGCATCATCGAACAGGGCACGATCTCGTTCAATTGCTTGAGTTAAATTCTGACACTTGTATTGTTCTTCCTGGCTTTTGGTACACCAAATGACATGGTCCACTTTTTGTTCAACAAAGTTATATTGGGCTAAAAATAAAAAAAAAAAACACAATAAATATTAAAGTGTTGTTTAGCCTAGTTTTTGCGTCGACTAATCTGTCGGATTTTGTTCTGTCCACCAACGCCCTAAAATGAAATTTCACTTATAAAACCTACCATTTATGTGACCAATTGCCAAAAGCAATGCAATAAATAATAATATATTACACATGTTGCACGTATTTTCGATTAAACAAATAAGAACATTTTTTTAAAAAACAAACAGAACAAAAATAATTAAATATTAAAAGGCACGCCCAAATACACTGACGAATAAATACAACAACACG